CAAGCTCCAGCACGCCAGCGGAGTCAGATGCAGGCTCAGATGATGGGGACGATGACCCGGCCCCAGACGGCAATGCTGCCAATGCAGAGGACCCCGCCGCCGAGCCAGCTGATGGCCGCAGAGCCGAGGCAGCAGATGGCCATGGTGCCGAGCCTGGTGAGCGCGGCCGCCCAAGGAGGCAGTTGGAGGCCCGCAAAATTGTCTGGGGACCTTTTCAGCTGGCGCCCATCGTGCCCGCAGGAGGGCGCGTGACGGGGTGGGGAGCTATATGCAATTGCCATTTCGATGCGGACGCAGGTCGCACAGGCTGCAAGAAGGCCGTGATGCTTTCAAGCTCAGTAAGCGAAGCCACGGCTGTGCTACGATTGAAACGATGGTTGATTGCAGGAGTGCGGGACGAACATTTCCCTCCCCACAGGGCACGCTCGCATCACGTGGGGCTTGGAGGCAAGGGCCTTGTGGACTTCGCCCATGGCGAGACGGAGCAGGAGCTTGACGAGTTTGTTGCCAGACTTGCGGCTGGATAGCTTGCGGCGGCGCAAGAGGAGAAAAAAGCTGCTTGTGTCCTTGTCTCTGCCAGCGGTTAGTTGCAGTCTGTTTTGCTTAAAGTTCTCTTTCGAAAGCAGGGTGATTTTCACAGAGCCTTTCAAATCATTGCATTTTTTGGCTTGCGATGATATTTTTGTCTTTCTTGCTTACTTTTCCTAAATTTCGTGTTTTTCCCCTTTTGCAAAAGAATATGCGGATTCGGTTTCTCGACTTTGGACCTGGTTTTCTCGACTTTAACCCCTGGTTTCTCGACTTTAACCCCTGGTTTCTCTACTTTAAATCTTTTTTCTCGACTTCAAATCTTTTTCCCCGACTTTAACATTATTTCCTCGACTTTAGTTTTTTTGCTACAAATACAAATTTCTAGTTCTTTCCCTGGTGTGTTTCCAAATTAGTGATGTGTTACCATTCAGTAGCAGGCAGACAGGCACATTCTTCTTCAGCAAAAGGCAGCTCGCAGCAGCGTGACGTCAAACATGGCTTGAGAGGGATTGATGTTTGTGCATGACGCGCAGCGTCCAGTTGTGGCCCAAGCTTAGTCGCGCCCTCGCAGGCAATGCCGGCCAGCGAGGCTGGGTTCTCAGAAGCAGACCCAGACGGCCCAGACGTTGCTGCAGATGCTGAGTCGCAAGCCTCCTCGACCTCCCGCTTGTTGCCGGTAAGTTTCTCACTGAGCAAGGCATCAGTGTGTATGCTGTGCAACAGCCGCTCCACAGATCAGAGCCCTCTCCCTCACGGCAACCCTCTCGACCCCCACGGGGGACGAGTGCCGTGGGGGAAGTACCGGCGTGTGAAAGACGCTCTGCATTCCGAGTTCAGGGTGCCCGAAGGGCGAGTGTGCTTGTTATGCCTGAATGTGTGGAGACTTCGTGGCATGCTGGAGAAATACAACTCCATGAAGGAGTACATGAAGTTGGCTAACAATGGCAGCAAGGGCCAGGAGCTTCATCAGGGCTTCTTGTCAGCTCGCGCAGAGTGGCTGCGACGCCATGCGGAGAACCCAAAGCTGAAGCTGAAGGACAAAGAGGCGCTCAGCAAGCCGAAGGTCACGCTGGAGACTGTGTCCCGCCAGGGCATGCGCTTCAAGAAGCCTGAGAAAGAGTTTGTGTCAGTCGAGGACTGGAACCCCGAGCTTGATGGACCTTTTGACCAGGCCAAAGTGGTTGAGCACATGATCTGCGGAGAAGTCGTCAAGGGCATCTTCAAGACCGTCGGGCGGAAGGGTGTCTACAAAGTGGAAGACTATGAGGACAAGGCTATGGAAGAGCGTGGCCTTGAGCACGACGGAGAAGGCAGGCTTTGGCAAGGGTTATTTTAAGTCATTTCAATTCTGGATTGCTATGGAATGTTTCCGGGCGTAGGTTCACAGTCACCAGACTCCCTGTTTTCTGCACAACTTGCAGAGTCTGTGAAGGTTTGCTTGCGCAGGCCTCTTTGCGGAAGAAGGCTTGGCAAACAAGAAGGAAGCCTTGGCAGGCGCTTTTGCTGAAGCTGCCAAGGAAAGGGAGTCCAGTTCTGTGGATGCTCCGCAGGTCCTTGACCTGAACAGTGTGCTGTCCTTGTTGCAGAGCAATGGGGCTGCAGCTGGCGCCGGCCCCAGCAGTTCAGGTAGCAGGCCTGCGGGCACCCTTGCTGCAGAGAGCAAGGCTGCGGCGTCGCCAGAAGAGAACCAAGAAGCGTGCAGCTCGGACGAAGAGCGAGCTGGCGCCAAGTCCCGCTTCGCTGCTAAACTGGGAGCCAGAAGGAAGTCTGCCGGTCCAAAACCTAAGCCGGCGCAGGCCAAAGCAAAGGCCAATGCCCAGCACCCGGCAGCTCCTCGCGCGTCGCAGTCTTCAGAGCCAGCTGCAGCTGGGCCGCAAGAGGCTGGGGGCAGCTCAGGCAGGTCGAGCCAGGCTTCCGAGCCTAAGGAGGCCTTTTCTTTGGACGGCCGGGGCCTGCGGTTGAAGGAATCTCTGCGCAAGCAGCTGGAAGATTTCACGGCAAAGCTGGCAGCCTTGCTGGCCTTCGATGACAGCTACGATTTTCAGGACAAGAAAAAGCACAACAGTCGACAGAAGTCGCTGCAAAGCTTCAAGACAAGCTTGTCCAACCAACTCAAGCGCGTGGAGAACTCAGCCAACAAAGCTGGGGTGACCGAAGAAGTTGAGAGGTTGATGGCCCTCATCAAGCACGCAGACGCAGCAGCCAGCCTCAACGATTGCCTGGGCCAAGCAGGGCCTCCTGCTGAAGATTTCAAGAACGCCGTGACGGCGGTGTGCGCCTTACAGGGCACACACGGGGCCAACGTCGGCCCGAACGTGTGGAAAAAGCTGCTAGAGGCCAGGTGCCAGCATCATATGTTGTACCGTGAGTTCAAGCTGTTTGCGGCGCTTTTTGAGGAAGACTGCCTGGAGGCTGGAAAGTCTTCGCCGCGTTTTTTTGTTGCATAATAAGTTTGCGTGAGGCGTTGTTGATTGGGCCCCGTGCAGGTGAAGCAGCTTTTGAACGTGCTGTTGCGGGATGAGGTGGTGGAGTTCGTGGAAAGAGAAGTCGAATTCCGCCTCACAGGCTTGCTTCGGTCCATCCCTGTCCAAGAGGCTACAAAGCCTGGATCAGAGACACGGCTTATTGTGAAGCAGTTCTGCAGCCAGATCAGTATTGCGGGGACCTCTACGAAGCTCTTAGAGCGTGTTGCAAAGTCCACTGAGATAGTGCACGGCTTGATGCAGTTCGAGAACTTGCGCGAGCTTTCGGCGGCTGTCTCCCGGTTGTCCTTGCCATGCTGCAATGCGGGTTTGCCGCAGTGTCCTGGAGCAACAATGGCGCGTCGCGGACGGCCGACCAAATCCCGCTTTCTACGGACCAGGCCTGGCTTTATTTGCTTTTTGCGTGTGCCCCCAGCCACATGGCCTGACGGCCACGAATGTGTCAGGCACATAGCAAGCATGCCGAAGTTGTCTTCTTAGCCTTCGCTTCATGTCAAAATCGTTAATTGTGGCTTGTAGCGTAGCTGCTACGCTTTGCTCAAATGATTCAAAGCATTGGTTTTGCCAATAGCCTTTCCTTTGACCATGCCTCGGCAGGACGTGCAGGCAGCAATGGCCAGCGTGCACGTTTTGGAGCGAGAAGGCCAAGCTGCTGCAGCGCCCTCAACCTTGCAGCCCAGCGCCAGTGCTTTGAGCGAAAGGCTGCGCAAGAGAGCCCGAGCAAGATACGGTCAGGCTTGACTGGGCAGGCCGCGGGCCGTGTTCCTGGGCAGGCCGCGGGCCGTGCTCGCCAGCAGGCGGCAGCTGCTTCTTCTTCTTCTTCTTGAGGCTTGGCTTGTGAGCGGTCCTAGCTTGACCTTCCATGCGCATGGCTTGTGCAGTGGAAAAAGGTTGAGGACGCTGTGCTATTATGTAGCTAGTAGCTAGGCTTAGGGTTGGGCTGCGCTTCCTTGACTGAAGTTGACTGAAATATGATATGAGCTTTCGTGGCGCTGCGACATTGCTTTATATGATTGCTTGGCGATTGACTACTATCCCAATAACGCCTGCTATGTCGCGTTGCCTGTCAGAGAAGGGTAACGACTGGCCAGTTCGCATGCAAGCAGCTGTCTTCAATGTTTGCTAGCGTGTGGTGTGTACTCGCGCAGCGCTCACTGCGGTCACTGCGTGCCTCTTGCTAAAAATCTTCTGGAAATGGCTAGCCTCAAGAATAGCTTCTCCGAGCCAAGCGTAGAATAGGGCGGCAAAAGCAAGCAACGCCTTGTAGCCCGCAGCAGACTGTGGAGCAGGCAAAGGGGAATTGACTTGAAGAAGACGTTTATAATGTCCAATAGCCAGCTGCAGAAAAATGCCCAAGATATTTGAAAAAGATCGCAGGGCTTTTGGAAAGGGCTTTAAGATGTCTGTAGCAAATTTTCAGTTGTTTAGAACGTATTTTAAGACTTATCGAAAAATGCTAAGATTTGAGAGCAGATGTTATGTTTTTTAGAAAAAAGTTAAAATGTTTAGGAAAGATGTTAAGATGTTTATAAAAGATGTTAAGATTTTTAAAAAACATTTTAAGTTTTTTTGTCTTCTGGCCTGCTACTTAAGTGACTTCAGTGTATAACATAGTGCACAGGCCTCTTGAATACACCCAACATATATACATATGCATCTATGTATGCATGGATGGATGGATGGATGGATGGATGGATCGATGGATGGATGGATGGATGGATGGAGGGATGGATCGATGGATAGAGCGATTTGCAGGGTTTTGCGGCGAAAGGAAACCGCCCCTGCCGCCATCGCTGACACGTCATTGGGCCACCAAGACCTCCCAAAGCCCGTACCTCCGCGCAAGTCGCACAGACAAGCGAGCTGTGATGTATGCATGTACGCATTTGTGTTCGCAACCATGCGCTTCTTGCAGGCTACGCATTGGTTTTCCTGTGGGTGTCTGTAAGAATAAGACCCAGCGGGAGACTGCTGAATTCGCGCCAGGCACTGTGGATGCGCCGAAGGGGCTGCAGCATCTCAAGGCGTAGCCCTGTGAGCTCGGAGTCGTGGAATTTCAAGTAACATGACTTGACGGTTGGGTGAAAGTGGATGCCGCAATTTCCCCACTTTAAAATTTGGCAAAGGGAAGCCATATCAGCTGAAATGGCCTGTACACGGCTCCGCTATGGCCCTCAATCAGTATTTGGAAAAACCAGGGTAAATTGTTGTTGACACCCAGTCGCAAGCATAGCGAGCTCATAGAATGCACAAAGAGCTCACTCATGAAGCTTCTCCACAAGAGTGGCGCCTGCAATAAGGAGTGTGCTGCTCCGTCCCTGAATCTGTTGGGCATAGAGCAGTTCGTGGCTCGTTTGTTCTGAGCGGGATCGGCAAGGTAGATTTTGATTGCTCGGGAGATGCTAGTGCTTATTCTGCGGCTTTCTGGACTGAGTCTGGCGAATGTGTGGCATGGCAATGCATGGCTGTGTGATGCAGCTTGAAACATCATGCGTTGGACGTGTTTGTACGATTTCTTAGGTTGTAGCATTGGTGCCCGTGTTATTGTGAGTTTCGTTGCTGCTCAGTGAAGGCTCCAGGAAAACATTCGAACCATACAACAGCCATTGCAAAACTCGGAAAGTAGCTTGGCTGGCCGTGTAAGATTCATATCACTAATTCCGGTGAATCAGGGATTTCAATCAGCGATATTATGTTATTTGTCTTTAGCAATTCGCAATGATGGTTTTGGGGCTACCATTTGATTCCCTTGGGCGTGTGTTGTGCAAGCCCAACAAAAAGTCCCTGAAAGTTATGCGTGTTCATGTAACACATGATTTCCCATATCCGCAATGATGATCGCAAGGCAAGCACATGATTGACATGTGCATTCCCAGCTCAAATTTCTGGCAAGGACCGCTTCAACTTTTGGCGCTTTGCCGAAGATTTAGGACTTGACTCGAAGCAGAGAGGTGGATGATATGCAGACGGACTTGCAAGTCCGACTTGGAAAGGTATTTCTTTCAACCAGGGTGCATGGGTTGCAGGTAGGTTGGGTTGTTTGGGTTGGCCATTGCTTGCCAGAGAACTTTCTTGATTCGTGGCCAGGATTCAAGGTGTTGTTCGTTTTTGGCCAGCTTTCTGTGTCAGGTTTTGGATTTGGTTCCGTGGATTGGTCGCTTCAGTTGCCACTGCTCAAACACGAAATCAAACGAATGCAGCCGTGCAGGGCAGTCTATGCACAATTCCACTGCAACTCAGCAACACCACGACGGGATTTGTCTGGGACAGGGGGGCGTGGGGCGATGCCTCGTACCTCTGGAAGCTGTCCTTTCTGAAATAGATGCGCGTTTGCGAGGGCATTCATTCTGTCAAGTTCTGTCAGGGCAAAGCGGCAAAGTTCGATCTGTTGCCAAGTGGAAGGCGCGATGTTGCTTCGCTGGCACGAGCCAGGTGCATAGCGCGGCGGAAAAGCGCAGGCAGCAGGACGAGGCAAGGATGGAAGGTGCCAGGAGCAATCTCATTGGATCCCAAGAGATTGAGAGCATATACTCACTCCAAGTAAATGACAAGGGAGATGTTTCCATATAGGGGAGCCCCGCATTGGACATTTGAGTCCCATGTCACATTCCTGAAGGCGGGGAAGGCCCCCCGCCCCAATGTCAACAGGCCACGGCCAAGTCCCACGTCCAATGTCTTGTCCTTCAGCTGAATGCGGCATTTTGTGCGTCAGGAGGAAAGGCTTGCTGGGATCGATTCACACAAGTCTAACCAAGGCTGTATTGTCATGACATCTGCAACAATAGTTACCTGGGGGTTGATCAAAAGGTCCTTGCAAGGAGTTATGTATTCGGTGACCATTCGTCTTTGTTTAAATCCCTCCGCGAAAGATCGGCGATGGAGTTCGCGAAAGAAACTTGTTTTTCGCGCAAGATCCCGCGTTGGGTTCTAAGAGGCATCCTGTGCACTTGCATATTTGCAGACCCCGCTCCCTTGTAGACAGGGAGATGCGCAGCACTTATACTTGCATTATCGATTCTCATTCCTGTGTTGGGAATGGTGCAAACCAACAACGTTGGCTGGGCTATTTTGGAGCAAGTTTCGCGAAAGATCCGCGAAAGACCCGCGAAAGTCCATGGAGCTTGTTGCAAGGTTCCGCACTTCCCCGGCAACAAGTGACAAGGGCGAATGACGGTGACTGCTTTCTCTTAACGCTACTGCAAGCCTGCCAGCGCAAGTCAACTGCGGCTACTGTGTTTGCAAGCACAACTGCAGCAGCCACAATGGCTCCAGAGCGCACGCTGCAAACAAAAGGGCGTCGCGAAAGATTCGCGAAAGAAACTTTTTTTCTCGCGAAGATGGCGTTTTCCGGAAACAGGAATATTGATCAACTGCCACCTATCGAGGGCAACTTCAGTTCGCGAAAACACCACCTTTCAATGCACGTGGAATTGTGGCGGTTCCCCAAGCTTGCGTGTGCCAAGGGTACTTGCAAGGCCTTGTGAAATTTCTGGCGCCGCTAGACTTGGTGACAAATCCACAACCTCCCCGCACTTCCCAGCTTCCCAGCTTCCCAGCTTCCCAGTTTCCCAGCTGCCAAAGTAGCTGCGACAAGTGTGACTAAGTGTTGTCACTTTACGGTAGGACAGGTTGATTGGTCCTGTCAATAAACGCGGCCCTCTTTCCTTTGAGAGCTCGCCAAAGTTGAGGCGCCTAGATGGGCCACTTGGGCGGTTGTGCGTTCTGACATGGAGGATGTGTGTTGACGCCACGACGGGGATGTGTGTTGATGCCACGAAGGGAACTACACAGTGGATTCAAGGGCCCGTCTGTTGCTGTGGCATTCAGCTGGCAGGGTTGGGAAAGAGCAACTTAAACTTTCAAGTTGTGCACCGACTTTGCAGCTGCACTGCGAATCGGCATAAGCTTGGGTGGGATTTTTCTGCCCAGTTTGTAGGTGTTGACTTCTGCTCCTTGATTCGGAGTTAGGCAATCTCGTCCAGAATGTAGGTTCACTCCCTCGGCACACCATACATCTTAAAGCTGGGAGTAGTTGGTGGTTTCCCAAAAAAACATGTCAATGGTCTTCCCTTGCTTCTGTGGGTCTCCACTTGTAAGGACTGCCCCTGTTGAGTCAAGAAACATGGCCACACCCTGGTCATTAAACCCCCGTGCTCACAGTGACGCGCGTTGCAACTAGACCCAGCCTTTGGGCAAGTGAGTTTCCCCGATTTGGTCCATTAGTCAAGGTTCCAAAAGGTTCACCTCCTATTTCTGGGTCCTTCAAGTGAGTTAAAGTTAATATGTGTTTTTTTGCCATATCCGTTTCAATGTTGGTCCTTCAAGTGAGTTAATGTGGTTGATTTGGTCCTATTCGTTTTACCTATCGGTTCACGAAGCACCGCGCTGCTTCTCGGGAGTTCCAGGCCGAAGCTGCCGCGCTCGAGGAGGCCGGCGGGTGCGAAGCGAGCGAGCGCATCGAGCGCCGTTCGAATCGCGGCGGGGGGTTACGTGGCAGTGGGTTCTGTTGGCGCAAAAAAGTCCTGGGTTGCCAGTTGGAAGTGGAAACCCCATGGAAAAAAACCAGGGGTTTTCCGTGAAGTGGTGGGTTTCTATAGATGTAAATGGGTTTTGTCCATTCAGTGGTTTCCATCGACAGGACGAGACCCATGACACATACACGTCCATGTAACGTACATTTATGGAATCTCGGCACCCAAGCAAGCCTGCAGCACAAAGACGTCCAACTTTTCATCATTTTCTGATCACCTGCCAGCCAGTACTTCTTTTGAAGGTACTCCACGCTTCCTTCGTTGCACCTGGCATTGCCATTGCATTTTCAAAACAGCACAGCCCGAAACAGTACACTTCTTAGTGAGGTCTCGTTTTGAGTACAGACCTGACAAATCCATGGGCACGGCCTTTGAAGTTGTGAAGGCTCGCCTAGCGATCCTCTTTTCAGAAGGGTGCTGTTGACTTCCATCCTGCAGTTCTGCAGTTCTATTAACTGTTGGACACCAGAAAAGAACGGAACATAAGACCCGAAGTCCAAGCAAGCTTGCTGGAATTTGCACATATTGGCCACGTTGAGCAAAGAAACCAGGACTCAATGACAGAATTCTCGCGTGTTCAAGTGATCCATCCTTTTTCTGACAAGGTTGACAACGTCCCGGAAGATTCAGGATCGCTCTTTTCCAGTGCGAATTCTGTGCAGGTCCATGTGGACTCAGGGCCTGTTGGGACTGTAGCAAGCCAGAACTGGGTCGCCAATCAAATCATTTGGAACCCATTTGCCCATTCGGAATGCCCAACGACTGCGTGGAACAAAAACCTTCCCCTCACCTCCCCATTCTGAATGCACGAGCGCCACTCCCGAAAGGCGGCCCGAGCACTGGCCATGGTCACCTCCGGCGAGGCAGAGCACGGTCGCGAAAGCACAGCCGCTGGGTGTTCGGAGTTTCTGTGACCTCGTTTTCTTGGAGGCAGGGGGTCTTTTTTCTGCCACCTGTGCAGGAGTTTCTGTGAATGTGCCGAATGGAATCCAAGGCGTAGTCAAGCAACCGACACCTGCAGGACCTGCTGGAGAAAAAAGAAAAAACACCAACCAGGGAATGAAGCGAATGTCATTTCCAGGGAATGAGATTGTTGTCTTAGAGGGGTAGTGAAGTGTTCCCACACCATAAGACCGTATAGGTAATCCACAATGGATGAACCACGGTATGATGTTAACCCGGAGAGAGCTGAGCTGCAAGGCGAGGCCCGAAGCTTTGCTGAACAGCCGGGCTGGGCATCTGGGCTGGGCTAGTGGAACTCCTTTTTGCTCGGCTCCAGCGAGGTGCTGCTTCTGAAAAGGTGGCGGTGAAGATGACTTGTTTAGGTAGGTGGGACAAGGCTCCCAGAACCCGCTGGGTTTGTGAGCCAAAATCGGCGCCTTTCCATCGTGTGGCAGTTGAGCAGGTTGGAATCGGTTGAGCAGACCACCGCTAGCATACCATAGCTGGAGAGCTTGCGGCATTGAGGTTTGAACCTGAGGCTTCCACTGAAGCCTGTCAGTGGTCTGGGCAAAAGGCACCTGGAATGCTTTTCGCTGAGGAGGTGGGTTGGAGTTGCGTCTTCCTGCTGGATTCTGCTGGCTTGAATGAATTCATGCATCCGACACGTTACACATACAATATGTTTGGTGAATTAGCCGCCGCGAGACTTGCGAAAATTAGCTCACTTCCTGAGTTCATGAACTTTAAACTTTTTGGGACGACCATTTTAGTGGTAATTATAAAGTTTGAACTTTTTTTGGGCCATCCACTCAGCCAGTGAGTTAGGGTACCCCTCTTTCCAACTTGGTAAAGGCAAGTTTCGGAGTGCGCAAACTCGAATTCGTTCGTTTCCGGGGAGGGAGATCCGCCGATTGGCAAGGCCATTGCCGCGGAAAGGGAGGAAGAGGAGGAAGCCGCAGTGGTGACGCTTCCAACAGCCCCTTGGCGATGAGAATCTCACAACCCGATTTTCCATTTCCGGGCATCCGATCTCATTCTCCATGCTTAAGACTGACACTGTGGTTGGATTATGCTTGGAAGCTACATTACGTTATATTACGTTTTAGGAAGGCGCGTCATGTGCGATAGGCACAGCATAGTAGACTGTAACATAAATTTGGTTTGATGCTCTGCCACAAATGCATACTGTCTATCGAATAGGTGTTTGGGATTCCTCAAGCCAGGTACAATCCCCATCAGCTTGCTGATCATTTGCGGTTTTTGGTGGTATAGGGATCACTAGGATCATGGTGCCAACCATCTGTCTAGGCTTCCCCGACCTAGTCCTACTGACAACGGATGACCAGACAAAACAAGCCATGCCGCACTCACTGCATCGTTCCCAATACAAAGCAACATGCAGTGCCATCAACGCCGCAAAGTGAAGTGATGTCCTGACTCCATGAGCATCAGCCCAAGGCAAGAGTCTCGGCCTGTGGTGTTTGTGTCTCCTTATGTATGAGAAGCGCTTCCTCAGGGCAAGGGGACCTCTCATCTCCAGATTCCAGTCCTTCGGCCTGCGAGAGGGTGCCTTTGTCCAATCGGGGCTCAGATCAGATTCCATGTTGGGCATTTGAGACCGTCTGAGCAAGACATTTGTAGATCTACGGCATGGCAAAGAAGTTGCTCAGATATGTTGATCAGTGACATGGCCATGAGGGAAACCGCCCAAACAGATTCGAGGGGACAAGTCACCCATGCTCATTTTGGGGACCCGAAGGGAATATTGATCAACCCCTTCTGGAGGCTCCTCTTTCGCGGCTCCCCATTTTTCCGGCGCATCTTTGCGGATCGCCGACGGCTGGGCGGCGCCTTGTGTAGGGCACCACGGCTGTGGCGCCTCTGCCCTCGGCGGTTTCCACGGAGCTGGAAGTCCCGCCGGACGGGGCTCTGGGGCTTTGGGGCTCTGGGGCTTCGGGGAGGCGGGCTTGACGTCCCAACAGCGGTCAAGAACGAGGTAACATGGATTGCAAGCCCGATCGATAAATGGAAAGGACGAACATTTTTGCATAGTTTGGTGGTTTCATTTTGACTCAAAACCCAACTTTGTGAAGATATCCCCAGCTGAAAGCTGTGGATGTGGTGGATAGGCTTAGAGATCGGCGCGATAAGGGTTATTTGGGCGCGATTTCGGGGAGGCTTCCACAGGAGGGTTCCAGGGGTTCCGGGGCTGTTGGGGATATCACACGTTCTTGTGTGTGCTCTGTGTGTGTGTGTGTGTCTCAAACTGGTGGTTTGCCGTGTGGCTTCCCTTCAAGGGTGAAAAGGTATCCTCACCACACACACACACACACACACACACACACACACACACACACACACACACACACACACACACACACACACACACACACACACACACACACACACACACACACACCCGCACGCAACACACACACAATACACACACAATACACACACAATACACACACACAATACATACACAACACACATATATACAGACACACACACACACACACACACGCAATACACGCACACACACAATACGCACTATACACAATACACACATACACAATAACACACATACACAATAACACATACACACAATAACACATAGACAATACACGCACACATACACACAATTCACACAATGCACACGATGCACACACTACGCACACACTACGCACACACACTACGAACAATACACAACCTACACACACAGTACACACAACACACACACAATACACGCAACACACACACAATACACACACAATACACACACAATACACACACACAATACATACACAACACACATATATACAGACATACACACAACAACACATACACAGTACACACATACACACAATACACCGACAAACACAATAAACAGACACATACACACAATGCACAGACACAGACGCAGACAAAGACACAGGCTCAGACAGAGACACAGACACAGTTACAGGCATAATATTGCACAGTACACACTGCACACTACACGCTACGCGCTACACACTACACACTACACACCACACAATCCACAGAGACATACACACAGACATACACACACACAGACACACACACACACACACACTTATCTCGAGAGGCTTCATTAGCCGAGCTGAGACACTTGGCTTCCCTTGGCAACAACAAAAAGGAGAAAGCAAACAGCACCAAAGGGAAAAGCCTCACAGCGACAGGTACGGAATCCCACGTCTGGGATTCCTTCCCTCCTGGCAACCTAGCTTCGTTGGCCAAGGTCAGTTGCCAGGAGCCTTGGCCCCCTGCCGGTTTTTTATCGTCCGTGATCCAGGACGGCACGCACACACAAAGCCCCGGTGGGGCGAACATAAAAGGAAAGCCGACACAACACCGAACCCCACAACCGCGAACACAAACCACACAGAGGGAATTCCACCAGGGGACCGCCAAAAACCCCGCGGCAACGGCAAAATATTTTCAAAGACGACAAACCCGAGCACACAAAACCAAGCAGAGGGAATTCCACCAGGGGACCGCAAGAAACCCCGCGGCAACAGCAAAAGAATTTCGAGGGACGCAAAGCCAACTTCAACCTGCGAAACGAAACCAAACAGAGGGAATTCCACCAGGGGACCGCCAAAACCCCGCGGCAACGGCAAAAGTTTCCACAGAAGACAGCGAATTGCATGGTAAGAAGCTGAACGCGAACTGAACTGATTTGAGACAGTGGCTGCGATGAACGCTACGATCTGCAAGGTTGGTATGTGACCAACCTACCACTTGCGCATGCAGAGCAAATGCCTGAAACCTGTCACACACGTACACACGTACACACACACACGTACACACACACACACACACGCACACACGTACACACACACACACACGTACACAAACACACGTACACACACACACACGTACACACACACACACACGTACACACACACACACGTACACACACACACACCCACGCCCGCCCGCCCGCCCGCCCGCCCGCGCGCACGCACGCACGCGCGCAAGCACACGCACATGCCCATGCACACGCACACACGCACGCACGCGCGCAAGCACACGCACATGCCCATGCACACGCACACACGCACACGCACACGCACACGCGCACACGCACACGCGCACGCACACACACACACAGACGCACATGTTCAGACACACACACACACACACAGAGACACAGACACAGACACAGACACAGACACAGACACAGACACAGACACAGACACAGACACACACACACACACACAGACACAGACACAGACACAGACACAGACACAGACACAGACACACACAGACACACACACACACACACACACACACACACACACACACACACACACACACGCACGCACGCACGCACGCACGCACGCACGCACGCACGCACGCACGCACGCACGCACGCACGCACCCGCACGCACCCGCACGCACCCGCACGCACGCACGCACGCACGCACCCGCACGCACCCGCACGCACACGCACGCACGCACGCACCCGCACGCACCACGCACGCACCCGCACGCACCCGCACGCACCCGCACGCACCCGCACGCACCCGCACGCACCCGCACGCACCCGCACGCACCCGCACGCACCCGCACGCACCCGCACGCACCCGCACGCACCCGCACGCACCCGCACGCACCCGCACACACGCACACACACACACACACACACGCACCCACACACACACACACACACACACACACACACACACACACACACACACACACACACACACACACACACACACACACACACACACACACACACACACACACACACACACACACACACACACACACACACACACACACACACACACACACACACACACACACACACACACACACACACACACACACACACACACACACACACACACACACACACACACACACACACACACACACACACACACACACACACACAGCGACACACACACACACACACACACACCGACACACACACACACACAAACACTTTGACACACACGGACACGCACACAACAACCGACATACAGACACACAGACACGCAGACACACAGACACACAGACACACAGACACACACACATCCGATTTGCGCAGTGGCACCCCCACTAAATCACATTTGATTAGCTGGATTCCCCACCACACAACTTCAAGGGTTTCCTTCTTTCAACCAAGGTCACTGGGCAACTAGGGCACTGGTCTTCGGGTGGCAGACACCTTCGGCGGAATTGGTTTCCTGCGGGGGTGGGAAGAGACGCATCAGCAAGAGGGGCCTCCGGGAACCAAAGGCTAAAGGTCTAACATCTGGTGATGTGGACACCGGGAACCCCCTCGAAGGGGTTTATGTTTTGCATAAACGAGGCCCAGAATGTGGTAAGGGGCGTTCATGGAAGGCTGTGGCACCAGTACTTGATAGTCCAAGAGACACACTGGCAATGCAGTGTCCAATTCCAACCAGCCGACCTCAGAGATCGAGTAGGCCAGAGTTTTGCTTTCCTTCTGCAACGGAAAGCATTTTCTTGTTTGAACCAGCAAGTAGCAAGCTTTAACAAGCTCACAGGGATAACAGCCCTTCATGGCCAATTTTTTCGTGATTCCAAAACCCCACACGTGGACACTCTGAAAAAACACACGGCTGTGTCTTGTTTTAGGGCCCCCCAAAATACGGTGGTCTTCCTCTTTTGAAATCCACAAGGGAGGTGCCAAGTCATAAAACGACAGACCCACATGAATCCTTCTCTTGTCCTGCCTGATTCCGTGGGTTCCATCGCCAGGATGTGGTGGACAGAAAAACGTCTTCCGCTACTTCCGCAGCCTGGCGGGCTTTCAGGCAGTGATTCGGGTCTGCCGTTTTTTGGGGTACCCCTTGTTTGGTGGTTTGAAGGGGAAACCACTAGGAAAGCCACCAGTTTGGGAGTCCCCCCAAAAAGGACACCCATTTTGCCCGGCTTTGAGGCCTTTAGACTTCAACGTAACGGTTTCAAGTTCTGATTGACCACTTGGGTCGGCCCAAGCCTCGAAGTTCAGCGTGCTCTTTCAGGAAGGCGGGTAGGCACAGTGGTCCCGGTTGTGTTGGGGCTCCCGCACGATGATGGTCATGGCAAAGAGATCCGTGTTGGATTGTTGATTCTCTGTGCGCATGAGCTGAAGGGCCAATTGACCCATGCTGATTTCTCAATGCACGTGGCTATCTATCAAGGCAGCCAGATGAGGCACTCCCCCATTCCGAACTCTTCAACGTTTGCCTAGAGCTGTAGTTTCCTGTGCCATTGTGGCAATGCGTATCACAACTGCCCCCCCGCCCATCAACTTGCATTTGTTTGAGTGTCAGCCACACGATGCCACGCAGGGGCCAGGCAAAGTCAGCATGCCATACGCGGGCATGGGTGTCATTGAATACGATGGACAACTGATCGATTAGCGTGCTGACCCAATGCTCGACTAACATGGGAATCTGCTTCTGAAGTGGGTGGGTCATACAACATGTGAAGCCTCATGTGTGTCTACCCAAATCGACACGAACGCATCGTGGGCCCCCTCCCGTAGTGCCAACATGTTGCTGAGCCTGTTGCCTGGAAAGTGTATTGAGCGACAACATGCCGGCCATGATATGCTAATGGGGGAAGAGAACGCCCCTCAATTCTGACTCGAGGGCCTGGTTGGCCCATGAAGCATTGCAACTCATTGTCTCTTGAGTCGGGGAAGTTCGAGTTGCGAATCCCAAGCAGATGAAGCCATCCAATGCAGTCGGCCACCAAGGAAAACGAGGACGGCTTTGGCGAGGAGCGGAGGGCGGATGCTGTTGGTCCAAAGTTGAACAGGGTGTGTTACGGAATATACGCACATATATGTCACATATGTATATATTACATATTATATATACATCTTCTCAGATAATTATTACTAGTCCCAATTGAAGCCTAGATGGATGGGAGCCGTGGTCAAATATGCTTACCTTGTTTGACCCCTTTCAAAGCTGGGTTAT